TCAACTGTTTTGATGTTTTTTCATTAATTTTTATCTCGCTCACTTCTCACTTCATATTCACGTCGTTCATTATCCTCATGTCTGTCTTCAAGGGCTTTTAATCTTCATACCTCTCTTCACCTTCTTTCTTTAAGTTCACCTGTTTCTTTACTTCTATCTGCGTCTTCTTCTCAACTTTCCATATTCATCACGTTTATCATTTTTTCTCTTCACAATCACTTTCATCTCACTGTTGATCCTCATCTCTTTCTTCACCTTCAACTCGTTCTTCATTTATATCTCGTTCCCCACTTCCTGCTCGTCCTCCCCTCCATCGCGATTCATGCAAACCCCATCCTCATCTTCATTTTGCTGTGCCGCGTGCGCAGGCGCTGCCCGCGCCTGCTGCGCGCGGGGGCGGCGACGGAGGCGGCGGAGGCGGGTGCGCGGGGCAGCCGCACTCGGCGCTGCACGAGCGCGCCATCAACGGGCGCGCGCAGGCCGTGTCGCATGCTGCTGCGCGCGGGGGCGGCAGCGGCGGCGCCGGACGCGCTGGGCCGCACGCCGCTGCACCTGGCCGCGCCACGCAGGCCGCCGCGCCTGCGCGCTGCGCCTGCTACGCGCCGCGCCCACGCCGCCGCGCCCGCGACGCGCGCGCGCGCACGCCCGCGCACCTCGCGCACGCCGCCGGCCACGAGCGCCTCGCGCGGCGCCTGCGCGAAGCTTCTGCACGCGCACCTCGCCGCCACCCGGCGACGACGACCTCGCCTACTAGCGGCGCCCGCGCCAACACCGCCTCTCCCCCTCTCAGGGAAAGGGGCCCTTCCCGCACGGCACTTTCATCCGTCCAGGCGAACAGGAGCTCCCAGCTTCTAGTGGAAAAGGACCCTTACTCTTTCACTCACGCCTCTTTTATCCGACAAGGAGAAAACGAGCTCACATCACAATCTCTAGGAGAAAAGCACCCTTACACTTTCGTGTACGCCACTTCTATCCGTCCAGGGTAATACGAGCTCATCCTTGCTATCTCGCGGGAAAAGGGGCTCTTACGCCACTTTTATCCGTCCAGGCCAACACGAGCTCATCTGACTCTCGAGGGGAAAAGGACTCTTACTCCTTCTCGTACGCCACTTTTATCCGACAAGGGGAACATGAGCTCTTCTCACAGTCTCGTGGATAAAAGGACCCATGCACCTTTGCGTACTCCACCTTTATCCGTCCAAGATATCACGTGCTCTTGCTTACAATATCGCAGGGAAAGGGACTTTACGCCACTTGTAGGCCACGTTTATCCGTCCAGGCAAACAGGAGCTCATTCCCTCCCAGCTTTGAGGGGAAAAGGACCTTTACTCCTTCTCATACGCCACTTTTATCTGACAAGGCATTCTAGCTGACTACACGTTCCAGCTCGGCACTTTTATCCATCCAGGCTAACAAACTTCTGACGTGGAACCTCACGAGTAAAGTGGCCGTCTCACATTCGGGATACGGTACTATTACACGTTCAGTCACGAACGAGCGAATATCATCACAATGCCGAGAGTAAAATGATCCTTATATTTTCGGAATACCGAATTTCGTCGGTCCAAAGATTAAGACTGGTGTCACAATTTTTGCATAACGTCGCATAACATGCGACGAATATGTAATGGAATGTACAATTAGGGTGATTAAAAAAAGTATGCGTATTGGCAAATTCTTGCAGGTAATTTGACATGCTTCGCTGAGCGATCCTAAGTTAAGGGCGACGCTTAAATAGTTCAGTTGTCGGGGTCGGCGATTGGCGAGTGGGTAGTCGACGCCGGTGGGGGTCCCCCTCCGAAAATGAATATAAAAAATACAATACTTTTTTTTTTCAAATTGACATATAATCATTAAATTGTTATCACATTTATTTTACCTAACTTCAGCCGTCTGTCTTTTTTTCAATGCAAAAACAGCTCTGCGCTTTGCATTTTTTATATAAGCTCACATAACGATTTTTGCAAATCGGTTTGGTTGGTCCTGTCACTACAAACATTTAAAATCGCAATACTGTTGAGCCGATCATGCAACATTATTAATTGCATAAACGTTTTGAGTCGACGCAGACGCAATACTGAGAAACTTCATTCATTTCTGGAATTTGATATTTATGAAATATTTCTCTCGCCCTAACTCCAAATTTTTCATGGGTATAACTACCACTATACCCACATTATCGGCCGGGCCTCACAGTAGTAAAGTGGGCCATTTTTTTAAAAAAATCTCGGTCACCTACACAGCGCATTTTGCACGTCTTCCATTTATGCAAGTGTCCAAAAATAATCTCGGAACTTTCTACACCTTCATCACAGTATTAGTTGTATCTCTTAACCCGGTTGGGTAAACTCGAGCTTCTGTGAACACAGCTGCGGTTAAAATGGCGGAGAAGCGACTCGAAGGAGCTCGGTTTTTTTCAGGATAAGTGTTCGTGGTGGACGATATCGCGAACTTCCGGTGTAAATCTGTACTGGTGACCATTCTTTGAGGCCTGCGAATGCTGTTCTCTTTATCTTTAAGGCGACTCCGCACTTTCGCCAAATAGCGAGCGACTGCTGGGCCAAACCCGATCAGCCGATGGGCTCGGCAGATGTTCGCATCCTTTGTTGTGACCGAAAGACTGACAAGTGGTGTGTAGAGCGAGCACCGAATGTTCATGGCTCAACAAGCAGTGGGCAACTCATCCAAACCACTATCGTTATTCGCCGCATCCCGAACGCGTGAAGTCGCCTTTAGACGCTGTGAACGATGGCCATTCTTGGCGCCTGTGATCACATCCAGGGAATGGTTAAGCCCGCGACGCGGGAATAAAACTGGTCAATGAAACTGCCATATTCCAAGAATATCAACGGGTATCTAAATACTCCCTTTTCTCTTCTGCGGTTTTTCATATCGATCTCAATTTCAATCGGGCCATGCTCCTTTCATAGAATTAGTAGATGTGTCGATAAGAGGCAGCGATTTTATCTTTTATTGTGTCCACGATATTCCAATCGCCGCCACCTACCTACCCAGTACTAACATCATATTTTCTTATAAAAAATATTGTGCATGCGTGAAAAAGCTTTAAATGCATTCTAAGATTGACTCTTTAACTGCTCATACTCGATTTACTACTCAGTTTGTTTCAACGGACAAAAAATCCTCAGGTATGCCAAAAATTAAAGTGCCCAGATATACAGGTTAATTCTGTGTGATCACTCTACAAAGTTTGTCCTCCTCCTCCCCAAATTTTCTCACATTTAAAAATTATGAGTAGGGGAGACATAAAAAACCGATGTGCATGCCAAAGCAATAACTATCCTACTAGTATGACATTTTCAGTTGCAGTAGTATTTCAGTGTTTGGAAATAATACCAAATATTTTGTGTTTCTTACGATTAAACGATTTCAATATCTAATTTTGATGTTGTATAAATTAATTTACAATATTCAATGAATTTTAACGGCTTTCAAAACCGGAATTTATTTATTATAAGTAATACCTTTATGTGAACAATAGAATCGTTTCTTTTTTGATAGGGGAAGGTGAAATTTTCTTAATTCCTTTCTAACTAAAGTATTTCTTCATTCGCCGATGAACATTTTCTCCCGGAGTAAAACCGATGAATAAATATGAATTGTGAGATTATTATTAATTAAATGTATAACTATTGAACGTACGGCTAGTTTTCTTGTGAGAAATATTGTATAATAAAAATTGTGTTTAAAATATGTGTGCTCTTTCATTATCCTAACGTTCATTTATACATTCCTTTTCATAACATTAAACAAGCAGAGGCAAATAACATCCAAGAAACCTTTGGCAAACAACTACAAAATCTTTCAACTGTGGAAGTTGGATGTTTTGTTTTAGAAAATATGAACTCATTACTTGCATTAGTTATATAAATGATAGTTGTATTAGTTGCATAGTTAAGTACAAACAATAAAATAAAAATACTAAATAGTTAAATAAATAGTTATACAATTAAACTATGAAATGCCAAGGTAGGAAATCTCATCCCCGAGGACACTCGAGTGTCCCTTATTCGTGGGACAGGAAGCCGATATCGTTTTCATTTGAGACATCAAAAATAAAACGGCGATCTCACGTGTTTTATTGTTGAGCGGCAGAGGTTATGGTGCAAAGTGCACCTAGAGAGCATATTACTATAATATACTTTAAATAGTATTATTTTGCGTAACCAATAATAAAGTTAAAAACTGAACTTCTATGTCTTCGAACGTATCAAAAGAACACTGTGGACACGAATAGAAAGATATGATTGGCACGGTGCAATTTTCCAAGAATTAGATAGCAAAAGTCCTGGTTGGTGAACGGAAAATTAAATGCAAAGGGCTGTTTTATTTATTCCGGTATTGTTAAATTGTATCTTCACATAGGGGTGATAGGGATCGCCAAAGAAGTTTCACTGGATTTTAAGAATTAGGGAATATTTTAACATTTGGGTAATGTTCATTAATATTTAAATCATGTTGTTCGCAAGACCTTCCGAAATTATGAATGAACACGACAATGACATACCTCTAAATAGTACTTAAACTACGAAACTAAAATATTGTATAATATTACTTTTCATTCTAGAAATCTTATTTCGAAAATGTTAATAATATAATACAAAAATGATATCTGTTATAAAAATTAAAAATAAGGAAATAATGAAAAATATAAGTAGTATGTCTTAAATTCACATGGTAAATAATGTACCATTCTTCAAAACAACTGTGGAAGGGAATTACAATAGTTCGGCGCGAAGCCTTCGTAGGACGCAGTTTGGCATCGGAATCAAGACAACTTACAGGTCAGAATCGACAGATGAGTGTCGCTTCACATGGCGTGGGTCGGTAAATTTCGAATGAATACAATGTAAGCTCACATAGTTAACAACCATTTTTTTTGTAACTTTCAAATCGGCAATGGATTGGATATTTGACGAGGACACATCCGTTTACATCTTAGTTGGTAGGCTAGGGTTGTGGATAAAAAAAGACATGTGTCATGTTAGATGCATTTATTGAATCAGATATAACAAAAAAGCAGAACAGAACAAAAGCATTACAACAGCGTTAATATACATCGCGGAGAAGAGTCAACAAAGGACGAGCGTCGTTTGGCGCGCCGACTCCGATCAGGTCGCTGCCCTTCGGCAACCGTCGGCTGTCCTCGGGAGCGCTCGACGCGGCTCGGCTGCACTGCACGGCTCGCACTGCGCATGCGCAGAAACAAACGTCATTAGACACAATGGAAGACAGGGTAACACTGTTATAGACAAGAGGGTTCCAAAATCCGTATCCACAATTTTTTTTCAAATTGTGCTTTGAATAAATTATTCAGAGATATAAAAAACGGCTTCTTTTGAAAGGGGAAAAAATGATTGCGTTTTGTCGTCTAACTCGTTGTGAGGACCGATTTTACAAAACTCAACATTTACAAAATTCAATTTTTGAGAGAGAAAGGTTTATAAAACATTTGATACTGTACTTTTGAAAGATAACAATTATCTTTAAAAATATAGGCTACTTCACTTTATATAAATTTTGCTCTTCTTTTATCAATACGGTGTCAAATATAATTCAATTTAGAATATTTTTGGGATGTTGAATTTTCTTAAAATGATACTCAAAGGAGACTCGAAGGAGACATGAGATTTTCCCCTTATATGATTTTGTTTCTTTCTGACACACAGGGCTGTTGGGTGTTATGTAAAACTAATTTGGAAACAGTGTTTCTTGTCAAGCTATGCGACAATACTTGCGCTCTTGTCAAGAAAGAAAGAAAGAAAGAAACAAGAAAGAAAGAGAAAAGAAAGAAAGAAAGACAGAAAAGAATGAATGAATGAAAGAAGGACTCACCGCGCATGCGCGAGGGCGCGTCCTGGCCTGGCGTGGCGTGGCGTGGCGTGGCGGGTGGCGCCTACCCCCATGGCGCCCAGTCGTGCTTGGCGCCGGCGCCGAACCAGGGACCGTGGGGCGGGAGAGCGGCGGCCTGCGCGGCGGCCACCTTGGCGGCGGCGGCGGTGGCGGCGGCGGAGCGCTGGATGGCGGCCGCCTGCGCCGACGCCTGCTCCGACCTGCGCATGCGCACACGCGCGCCTCAGCCACGGCGTCTGCAAAGCCTCGCTGAACCTCGAGGGATCTACTTCATTGTAGTAGGGAGTTTGTGCACGCCATAGCGGACAGCTCTAGCCATCTTCTGCTCAAGCGCAGATGCACTAAAGTGGTGCGAAGCTTGGACTGCGCATGCGCAAAAGATCGATAGAGCTTCAACGTTCGGGGGTGCAAACACAAAACTATATAATACTATCGGAATCAATTTTTATTAACATGTATACATTTAGATAATTATTTTTTAATTACACATACTTCAGAAGCATTAAGCATCTTCTAATTATCTCTCATTAAATGTAAATATATAAAGATCACTCGTTCTAACATTAGTTCAACTTCGTATTTTCGGAATTAAAGAAAGAATAAAAGATACAAATTATGTCCACGGTGAGCGAGAATGACTGTCTACTGTTAGGAGTGAAAATAACAAGAGCCTTTATGCGTGGAGACGTTTACTAACACATTTTAAGTTGGCAATGTTTCCTTTATTGAAGTTCTGTACTGATATTTACCAAGGTTTTTTCGATATGGCAATACTAAAAGGGAATTGCAATGTTTTATAGAATTTCTAAGAAGTTTGCATTTATTGATGGAGAATTTATTGAAAAAATGGTAATTGGGAAGATGATTTAATATTGGTAAGATGATATTTGTATTAACATTTTTATTGTACAATTATTATATCTGAATATTATTATGGTTTATTTATTTGTTGAGAAACAGTTATAATCAATTAGTCGGAACATATATGATTTTTAATTTCTGCTCCGATAGTAATATCGATATTATTCGAGAGTTTATTTAAAGACTCGATCAGTATTAGTATTGTTATCGATTGTTTTCGAATGTTATCCCATCGAGGTTTACAGTAGCGATCTCGGTCTGAAGAATCGCGGGTTCGAGTTCCACTTCGGGCATGGTTGTATTTGCGTTCGTCCTTTCACCCATATCATCACCATATCATGTCATCATTTAAATAATTGTTTGTAAATAGTTGAAAGAAAAGTATTGGGTAGTTGCTTTAGGAAAACAATGTTTAGTAATGAGTTAAGTGTCTCGCATGACTTTTATCTTGACTAATTGGCGTTACTAATTTAGGTTAGGTTGATTTCGGCGCCCGTTCTTTTGTTTCTTTCTTTGTTAAATATTAGTCCACATTGTTTACTTTGAAAGTGCTTTATCGTCAAACAGTTTCAGTTTGTGTGTGATACAAAAATTTACTTTGGTGTGGTTTTATCTCGTAGCCAAAGAGGAACAGTGGTGACACTAGCACGATTTGTACAGCATAGCTCCAAGACCGAGAGCCAGTACTTCCATTTCCGGTGAATTTTGCAGCGGTTTTGTTATCAATTCCTCCTCACAATGCCCGGTGAGGTACGTTACATTCAATACCGTCTGATTCCTAAAAACATTTACTATGAATTGAACAAAAGAAAAAAGTACTTTCACCGTATAAATTCTTCTATTTCTAAAACGAATGTGCTCGCGAAAGTTTTTCCATAAGAGGCTGTACTTAAGCCTGTGCGTTTTGAATAAACTTCTTCTATTCAAAAATTAGGCCGGTAAGGGCCAATTTCTTCCCTTCCATTTTGAAGAGAAATATTTTGTTTTCATTTAAAGAACGTGTTGAGGGTAGTACCTGCGGATGGCGTCGGCGGCGGCGTGGGCGGTTTCGGCCCGCTGGCGCGCGCGCTCGGCCGCCGCCTCCTTGTGCGCGGCCCAGCGCTGCTGGTAGAGCGCCGCCTCGCGCGCCGCCGCCGCCTTCTGCTGCGCCGCCGCCGCCGCCCCCGCCGCCGCCTGTGCGCCTGCGCCGCGCCCGCCCGCCTGCCTGCCGCGCGGGCCCCGTCGGCCGGCCGGCGCCGCGCGCCGCGCCGCCGCTGCGACTTGCCAGCGCCACGCCGCCTTCGCGGCCACCTGCCGCACGGGGGACCAAATGAGCGGCCTTCTATCTTTCTCGCAAAACTTACTCTCTAAATCTCCTATTAAAGTGGGGGACCAAAAATCTCCCTTCGTATTTCCGCGAACTTACTTTCTATTCCTCCAAAAATTGGCGGACCAAATGAGCCCTTATCCTTTTCTCGGCAAAAATTAACTCTCTAAGTCCCTATGTAAATTGGGAGCCAACATGATCTCTCATCTCTTGTTACAGTACAGTTTACATTACCTAGCGTTAAGAAAAAATTTAATACATACTAAAGCCAGTTACGTTAGGTATACCAAAGTGCTACAAAAGCTATATTCTTTTGATTCGCGTGAATAAGTTTGATAATTCCATGAACATTTTACTTTGACAGGAAAGCAAAAATACACTACAATCTGAAGTAATCCAGAGTATTAATGCTATTCAAAGAAAGTATTATTGAAACGAACTATTTTTTGTGTAGGTTTCATGATAATATCATTAATTTCGAATTTACAGCACTAGTTGAAAGTTGTGTATTTTCTGACCTAAAAAAAATAATGTTTTCCATGTTTTATACGCTTTATTCAATCAATTTATTCGGGACTAAGAATATAAAACAAAAGTCGGCATTTAACTTAGAAGTTCTGAAAACAATTTTAATTTATCTCATGATTTGTTGAATTCATCTCCGCTCGCGAATAGCAAGAATAACGTATTAAAATATCGAAAAGGTTCCTAGATTTGCGTAGTAAGACAAAACTAAATAATTCATGTTCAATGCATTCCGCAACACACTCGGTAAGTGTTTTTGAATATATTCGTTTAAATAAAACCTAAGGATGCAATTCTAAGCATTAAAGAACTAGAAATTTTGAGCAAAAAGCCTCATAGAAATGTTTTTTCACACATAATGTACAAGGATGTATCTTTCTTGAAACAATCTTACTACATATCTGCGGGGGGAGGGGAGACAAACGAAGAGAAAGGGAGATGTAGGGTCAGAACAAAGATCTGCCGCGTTCTGCTAGTAACTAATAATTAGATTTTAAGCTAAAATGATGTCAGTTTTCTTCTATTAGTTCAGAAGTGTCCTCCTTCGAGCTGCTTAAGGCCGCAAGGCAGCAGTTTACGTAAGCCAGACTAAGCAAAAAAATGGGCGCATCTTTAGGGGGTGTTACTCTAATGTGCATTGAACTTCATCACATCATTTTTTTTTTTAAATTCACGATCAATGATAATTGATAGGGGAAGTGGAATTGGCCTCTAACGGGGCAAACACTAATCCACGCTGTTGTATGCATATTGTCATATCGTTGGCGCCAGAACACTAGGCCTTTCTCTTCAAGCAGACACCCTTTATACATTTTTTTTGAGATTATGTGAAAAATTCGATGTGATGAAGTTAACGTGGACTTCAGATTTCGGTTTTCAGAGGACCTCCTAAACATATAAGGTTATCATGGTCTAAGCGTCTCCGATTAGGAAAATATCTTTCATTTTTAAAATTGGTTCGAGTTATGTCAAAAACCTGAGTAAATAGACACCGGATTGAATTTGCGACCAAAACATATAGAAAAAATGGTCTGATCCCCAGCCCCGGTTCACAACTTGTTTGTTGCGTGTGGCTGCCGTTATGATTAGTTATTATAGTCCAGGAATGGTGAGCCTAAATACCAATGTACTCACGTCGTGGCGGGGGTGCGGGCAAAGAAGACGGCGGGCGGGCGGCGGAGAAGTGCGGCGGGAGGGCGGCGGGGAAGAGGGCACGGGGACGGCAGGCCCAGGGGCGGCGGCGGCGGCCGCCCGCGCCCACGCCCACGCCCAGGCCCCGCGCCTTGCCTTAGGCCCCCAGGGGGACTCTCTTCGGCGCGCGCCGGGCCCGCCGCGGCCCAGCAGCAGCAGCAGCAGCGGCAGCTCAGCAGGCACGCGGGGCCACAGCGAGGGGCTGCTGCCACAACACACACCACACTACACCCCCACCCGCACTCTCTCTCTCGCACCACTCGCAAGTGTCGCTAGCGAGCGCAGCATTTGGCAATCTAAATTTAAACTAGTGGTGCAAGATCACGTGCTGGACGGAGAGGAGGACACTGTCGTGCGATCGGAAGGTTCTTGAAGTCTTAAATTTGAAGTATTGGAGCTCGCGATTGGATGACAATATCCCCCTTTCCTTCCACCTCGTGACCTCGATGTGCGACATTATAAATTAGTGGTGCTAGAACAACACGTACTTTCTCGCCCATATTTGCACGCAAAATTACGCCAAAAAAACTCAAATTTTCGTAACGTTGTGCCTGCACTTATTTCAAAAGCAATTTTTAAGCAACAACTTTCATTAAGAGAAAAAAATCTCTCTCTTCATAATTGTAGTAGAAGGAACTTTTGCAATTGTCAAAAAATCAGAGTTTTAACGAACATTAGACCTGCACCATTCTCTTAAACGTTTTTCACATAATAAAAAAACTGATGAAAATCGATGGATACATTTTTTTAAATTTTTAAAATGTATGAAGGTCATCATTGAAACTACTCTCTAAAATTCAAATATCGGTATCAAATATAACGGGCGGTGATATCAGCCAGATCGATTGCAGAATGTCAATTTTGAGAAAATCTGCTGAACGGCCAGACAGACGTTTTGCCGTCATTTGATTTTTCACTCTCAAGGACCTGCCATACATAGATTCTCGGTACATCACGTGTTTGAGGAGTTTTATGCTTCTAAATTTAGCAGCTGGATTTATCCATGTTGCCGATACCAGGAGCCTGTAATACGAGATTTGGTACTGAAATTACCGTTTTCTCGCGCAGAATTATTTAACTCTCTCTACTCCGTAGCGAGAAGTAAAAATGACGTTTTCAAAACAAGGCTACAACATTTTTTTATCATTATAAAAATGTATATTTTGCAGTTTGTAACATTAGTTGAGAAAATTATTAGTAAGGGAGGAATCTTTAAGATTAAAAAACAACAATTTGATGCTTCTTATATTTTCCCTTTAAAATCAGGAAATAAGGATAACTAATTTAATATTTTGACAATTGTTAACGTCAACAAAAATTTAAAG